AGAAGAAGAGAAGAAGAGAAGAAGAGAAGAAGAGAAGAAGAGAAGAAGAGAAGGAGAGAAGAAGAGAAGGAGAGAAGAAAAGAAAAGTATAAAGACAAGGCGCAGGCCATAGCCGAGATATGGGAAGGAGAGACGAGAGGCAGAAACGTCAGGTCATCCAATAAGCMGGAGGATTGAAGTTCTCGAAAATTGGAGAATGAAGGGAGGTAAGACTGAAAAATCAAGTCATGGTGTTTACCACCAGCCCCAGCCAGCCGGCAGGATCGATGCGCTGGGACGGATCCTTAGCAATGGCAGGCTTAACAATCTGCTCAACAATGCCCTTTCTCGGAATGCGAGCGCCACTCTGGCCCGAACGGGCAAAGTCGATAACTTGGTGTCCTTCACGGGCCATGGCAAGACGCTGCATGCTGTTTGTGCCCGGGTAGAGTAACAAGTCTCCCGTCGCCGCTGCGAGGAGAGTCACCGCGAGCGAGAAGACGTCTGACGCTGGAGTCGGGACGACGTCGGGGGACTTGAGCGCGGAGATGGACAGGAGTTCGGGGGCGGTGAATGGGGGCGTCAGGGCTGTCAGGGCCGTACCCTTGGTCGCGGAGGCGCAGTCGCCGATGGGGTGCGCAGAGGAAAAGTCTGCGAAGAGGGGCTCAAAGGGGAATTCGTCGGAATCCGAGTCGTTGGCAATAGGGCGGGGCCGCAACAGAAAGTTGTAAGGTTTGATATCACCATGGACCATTTGAGCGCCGTTATGGAGCCAAGCGAGTCCCGCGACAAGCTTCTTCGCGAGACCGTGCCATTCGGCCATGCCTTGAACGGGATCAAACATCGTGGTGGTAGACAAATGCTTCTTGGCTGCACTGGCCTTTTCTTCAATGTAGGCTGAGAGTGCAAGCGGCACGGCGCCCATGACGATGGCATGGGAATCGGCAATGTAGCCGTGGAATGGCACGATATGGTTCTCGCAACCAGGAACCATGCTCAGACGGGTCAGTGCTAGGGCCTCGGCGTCAAGCACTGGAGATGCATCGCGTCGCCCAGGCATTTTGACGGCCACCACGCGGCTTCCTGATGCGGGCGAGCCTGGAGGGCTCAGTGCAGCTGGGGTGGAAGATGCGCGGGAGGATGCCATGTAAACGACACTCCAGACGCCACGGCCAAACTCGAGCTTGCGGCCCTTGGAGTCATAGTGAAACTCCAAATCGTCGGAGAACTTGCGTGGCGCGGTTACAGTCTGAAGGTCAGATGGTAAGATGTCATGCAGGCGTTCTCCTGAAAAGGACACAGGAGATACTGAGCGACTGGGGGTGTCCACTCCAGGTGAACTGCTGTCATGACCGATAGTCGGGGTGATTGGAGGGGTTGGCTGTGATCCTTTTGGAAGCTGGGGGTGCTTGCCGTCTTGGGTGCCAGTGTGGACCGAAAGACGAATCGGCATATTGGGTGCCGCCATGATGGATAGTGATTTTAATGCGCCTGCGGTGGGTTCGCCTGGATTGCGCTGCAGTAGTTGGACAGTACGCGCAATGTCTGATCTCTCGGTAATGATGAAAGGCCTGATGAAAGGCCACTTGAAGGGCCAAGGAATGCGGTAAAGCGTCGTCACTGATCTCCAAATATGTCGCGTATATAGCTCACTGTGAAATATAGATTCTGATATGTTGATATAGCGGAGGCTGTTGGTGATAAATGGTGGAAAATGCGTTGGATTACTTCATGTGAACGACGCTATATGCGACTGGAATTATATAGATGTCTGACGCAATAAGCGAGTAAGTAATAGGCAGACAGACGAGCAACCAAGGCGCATACTCTGGATTAACTTATTAAGCGATAAGACGATCGAACACGATCTATGGATCTATAGAGACACAAGTCTGGGGAACGAATATTTAAAGATGATGTGAGTGGCGATGCGTGGTGACACGGGTGACAGAGGAACCTCGTGGATGGATCCAGACCCAGACGGAGACGGATGGTCAGAGGAAACTAGGAGCGGAAGAAGACAGAGTGAGGGAGAGACGAAAGCGACGAAAGACCGAAAACATGATGGAAGACGCTGCAAGAGGGATAAGATCAAGGGAAGGAAAGGAAAGAAGGGAAGGACGAGATGAGTGCGAGTGAAGAGAGAAAAGGAAAAGAGGAAAAAGCAAACGGTCTCGACCAGGGAAAATCGAGTTGCAAAAGTGGGAAATGTTCGGGGATCGACGAGGAGCTTAATTGACAATAATGCTAAACCGGAGATGGAGGACGATGGATGAAACCAAAGGATTACTACTTATTCTATCACAGCCTGGAGGAATGAGAAGGATTCAAAGGAATACGACGGATATTATTATTCATTTTTACTACTGTTACACTTGGGGTCAGCCATACGGAGTACAGTAAGTAGTTAAATCTTAGGTAGGTACGGAGTAGTGTTATTGCTTTAGGCAAGGTAGCACTGCACGGCTATCAAAGGGTTACAGTAACATGATTCCTGTTAGTAGACTGAAATTAAAAGATGGTCAATCCTCTTACACTGGTATAAGACATCATGTTATTCATCCTATGAAGTTCAACTTGGGAATACTCTCATCCCATCCTGTGTATATCAAGCGCTAGCCAGTCTACACTGATGCTTGAAACAGTCCATGAGCGACTATTTTGCCCTTTGCATTCTTTGAGATTACCTTGCCCATGATTTCCCTTGAGTCGTAACGGTATGGTAAGTAATAATATACCGCGAACAGGGTCTTGCCTGCCTTAGTCGTGCGGCGCTTCTGCAGTTCCCAAGCACGGCCACTAAACGCAAACAGGTTTAGTTGGAGCCCCCATTAACCCGGTTGACCCAATAGGGCAATCCGGTGGGTATTGGTTCGTCTCCGCTCGGACGCCAACGAAATTAACCGGAAGCGCCCAAACGGCTGTCATTTCCGGCTCTGAGAAGAGCAATAATTAGGTAATCATACAGAGAGAAAACAGCCTCAGGACAGAGATAAGGTAGGCCACGAAAAGCATTCGACCCGATGATAACAATAATTCTCCATCAAGAACCAAATAATCACACCCCAATCTTAATTCACTCGTTGTTTCCCTGACCAAAAGGCCCTTGCCTCTCCGTAACTTTGATCTATCTTCGCGAAAAGTTCATAGCCAATCTCCACCCCCACGTGTGAGAGGCTCCGACTCTCAGCCACGGAAACTGACTGACTGTTGAGACTTTCGCGTAGTGTGAGATTTGACTCATTTGAGGGACATCTTCTCCACACTTTACGCAAGTCAGGGGCTGATCCTTGCTCGAGAAAGGATTAAGAACACCCATTAACCTTGCACTAAGCCTCAACAGTCTCCAAAGCCTCCGATTGCCTTCGAATCAGGTTTCAACTGCAGTATGCAACGTCATTGCCGCTATCTTTGGATTCTAGTCAAGTAACTAAGAGGTATCCCACCTCGGAATTACTCCGGCCTCACTAGGTTCAGCCTTGTACTTGATAACTGCGGAGATATTTATCAACCTCTCAACTCCAGACTATCTCCATGTCACTAAATGTTGGCTGACATAGACCCGTGATTTGTTGAAATTTGAGTCATGCAGTCCTCATGGTTGACGCKGGGTAAGAGTCTGCAATAGCAATGTAGATTTAGATATCTAGCCGCTCAGGATTGTTAAATATAGCTCTAGAGGAGGGTATATGTGTCATTGCTATCGTAAAAATACGAGCATCAGGAAATCAAGGAATCATCACACCAGCTTCCCTGAAGTCGGTTTCTGTTACGCGAACATCCGCAGGAAATATGTTTGTTTTCTTGGGCCGTAGTTCCACTGCATCATCGTTTAGCCGAGCAGCATCAAGATACCCAAGCAAGTGGTAAACCTGGAACAGCTGATGCAAATATTCAACATTCCCCGGTCTCTTGATCATGTCCTGCATGTCAGCCGTCTGAGAACCCCGTCAAATCAGTGCAGATTTCGGAAACCCGGCTACAACCTGTCGATCACCATTTGCCTCACTTCGCAGTTGTCACGCATTCAATCCTTCATCACACATAATCAGACCCCTGGCGACTTCCCCTCAACATACCCTTTCAAATCCCGTACCCAAATCTCAAAATTCTCCTTCAACCGGCCCCCAAACATCCACCGCACAATATACACCAAATACCCAACCTGGGCTTCCCAATTGCGCACCTCAGTCCCCCGCCTCATCTGCCCATCTTCCCCTGGAACCTCTATCTCCACAATCTCATGTACCCTTTCTGCCGTCAGCAGCGACGCAGGAAATCCGCCCTTGGCATTGGGGTCACTGGCCCACACAATCCGCCCTGGTTTTTTGGCGCTGGGGTTCGGTGGCTCAAACTCGACGATCGCAAGCTGGGTATCGTTTGCCTTTTGCGGTTTAGTCGACGAGGGATCCATGTGTACGTGGAAGGTCATTTTGGTTCCCTTTTGTAGGATCGGCGAGAGGGAGTCCGGGGAGGCATCAGGGGAGTCTGGTTGTTCGCGGATGGTGACTCGGGGTACGAAGGTATTCCATGTTGGCCAGGTGGAGGTGTCAATTAGGGCGTTCCAGACATCTTGTGAGGGTGCGTCGATGTGTGTAGCACTGCTGAGGTGGAGGACGGCGTCGGACGCGGAGATGTTGGGAGTCGAGTTGGAGCAGAGAGGTGGGGATGTAGATGTAGATGTCATGATGGTTTGCGACTCAGTAGAGGTAGTAGCCTGAGGTGAGTACCAATATTTTCGTGATCTGAGCGTCTAGCTACAATCGCCGGAGGTGGTTGTTGTCGATGTTTATCTAGATGACGATGGCCCACTGTCTCCACATAAACTTGAGTTTAGTAGGTCAGGTGTAAGGTTCAGGGCCTGAGGCCGCAAGAACCTCCGCGTCAATCTGCCAGATCCAGATCAAAGACTCAAAGTAGATATTATTGGAAATCTTCATGTCGCGATGATGATAACCTCGGCTATTCAATTAGCTACTGTCAACTATGGAGTACCCCATATTGTCCCCAGTCTCCGTCCTAATTCCTCCACCAATGCGATGACATATGAGCCCCTAGTAAAGATCGATCTTGGCCCTGATCAGCTCTATACGGGTGGAGCTCAAATTTCCGTCCGTACAAGTCATGTAACTTTCGAGTTTCTCCGTGCAATGGTCCTCGGTAGCTCCTCGAGATCCTGCTCGATGGAGCTATCCTGATGGGAACTGTTTAAATTCACCGAGTTATGCATCCATGGTATGTGCCCCAACAACTGCTTTTCAACTCAATTCATCATGCTGATTACCAACCCAGCTCTTCTGGGCATTCTTGCCTCTCTTGCCCCGCTGGCTTTGGGAGCTCCCAGTCACTCGATACAAGCTCGCTCGAGAAAATGTGCGATTCCTTCGAGCTACGCATCCTCTCAGGGAACCGCAGATGACTCCCCTGCCGTCGCCAGCGCCTTTGCCCAATGCGCCCAGAATTCGGTCATCGTCTTCCAGGAGGGTGTTGACTACAACATCTTCCACCCGATCAAAGCGACCAATCTCAGCAATGTCGAGATTCGAATGCTCGGGAACCTACATCTTCCCCAGAACATTACCGCCGTACAGAACATCGTCAAATCCGGCCAAAATACCTGGTTCACGTTCCAGGGGCCCCGTGTCGACTGGACGGGACCCGACGACGTCAACAACGGCTGGATCAATTCGTATGGCCAGGCCTGGTGGGACGCAAACMCGGCCAACAGCAGCAGTTTCCCGAACCGGCCGCACCTGATGAGCTACAAGACCAGCCAGGCATCGATCAAGAACTTCCGCTCGCGCAAGCCAATCGCCTGGAACGTCAAGCTACAAGGCGACGACATCACCGTCACCCACGCCATCATCGACGCCGAATCGACGGGCGGCTTTCCCTTTAACACCGACGGCTTCGACGTCCAGGGCACCAACATCCGCATCACCGACAGCATCATGTACAACGGCGACGACGCCATCGCCGTCGGCTCCCCCTCGCACAACATCGTCTTCGCCCGCAACACCATCGGCTACCAGTCGCACGGGATGAGCATCGGCTCGCTAGGCAAAGACCCCACCGACTTCGCCAACATCACCAACCTCCGCTTCGAGGACGTTACCGTCATCGACGCGCTTTACGCCGCCCGCTTCAAGTCCTGGTCCGGCGGCAAGGGCCTGGTCAAGAACGTCGTCTGGAAGAACATCCGCGTCTACAACGTCACCTTCCCCATCTTCGTCACCCAGAGCTACTGGGACCAGGGCGCCTCGCGGTCGGGCACCATCGACCCTTCCTCGTCCGTCATGATGGAGGACTTCACCTGGTCCGATTTCTCGGGCTCCATCAATACCTACCACCCCGGTGATGGGTCCTGCGTCACCGATCCGTGCTGGTACAACGCCGGTCTGCCGAACCTGAAACATACCGACGCCATCGTGCTCGAGTGCAACACCGAGGCCTCCTGCAAGAACTTCAGGACAGAGAATATCCAGCTTTACCCGCAGAGTATGGACTCGCCTAGTGTTATTTGCATGAAGGCTACGGCGCAGCTGAACCCCAATCTGGGGTTTGAGTGTAAGAATGGTACCTTTGTTCCTCAGTGACTGGTCGAGCATGTACATACCTGAGCATAAATAACATGTACCATGCATCTCTTTATATTCTCCAATATAAATAATTATCTCTCTCGTCCAGTACGGACCAACAACAGACCTTTACGGCGAGTCTATAAACTTCACAAACCTACAAAGGTCTATACATTCCCCTCTGAAACCAGTCTATCACCCAGCAAACCCCGAGTCCCGTCTTTGCTTTTTCGAACTTTCCCCCTCGGTCGAACTCCCGGATCTTCTATCCGCATGATCCAAATCCCACCTCAACTCCCTAACAACCTGGATCCTATCCGTATCCTGCAACTCATCCCCATTGACCGAGCAATTCCCGGTGACACTAGCCGAGTAATTCCCACTCGTCACAGCGAACGGGTTATGAAGATGAAACGAGTAGATAGAGGGTAGCTCCTTGTCCCGTTGACGTTGGCGTTGGCTGTCGCGGGCGCACGGGCGCGAAGAGAGCAGGCGCGGGCAGATGCGGGTGAGGAGCGGTTGTATGGGCGGTAGGCAGGTGCAGATGATGGCGACGTTGGCCTCGATGGAGGACCAGGTTGCTGCTGGGCCGTTGCGCTCTTATGATCTTGTCAGTTTTGTTGGGTATAGATTCGGGGCATGCAATGTTACCGGAGAAGTCGGTGGTGTCGCTGACGAGTTGGATGATTTTAACAAGGCGAATGATGCTCATTGCGCAGACGCTGGTGGCGTTAGTATAGGGTTGGAACATACAAGGGGAAGGGAGAGACGTACAAGAACCCCAGGGCGAACACTAATATCAGGGCGACCTTTTGTCTGGTTGGTAGACGCAGCCGCGCAAGCGTGGGTATCGGGGTCGTGACGACCACTAGATCCGTTACGATCTGCAGCGCAGCATTGAGACACCAAATTACCGCGAAAGGCCGACATGTGGCTGGAACGGAGTGATCCCAGAACCCGCGAACCGGGAGGCATATTAGAAAGGCGCTGAACATGGTCCATAGACCGACAAGGATTATGAAGACGAGAAAGACGATGAGAAGGATGCGGAAGCGCTTGTTCGTGGCCACGAAAAGACGCATATACAGCAGGATCATGGAGATTTTGGCCAGCGTAAGGGTGAGATTATAGAATGGGATGGAAACCCATAGGGCCTGCGGGTCGAGTTGGCTATCATGGCTTCACTTCAAGTATGGAGTACATACCTTGAGCTGAGTTCGTATATCATGCTCGCTGACTACATCTTCTTTCTGCCCCAAGTGGTTTTGTAGTTCTACTCGACGATAAGTTAAAGCCAAGGGCTCACACAAGCCGGTGACTTACCAATTATCAGACATGCATAGAAGACATAGTTTGTTCCCTTGGTTTGTCAACCAGTCATGCTCTCACATCAATCAAGCGACCATTTCATGAGCTTACCACTGCCGCAACAATCAATGCATCGTCCCAACCTGGTGTTCGAACAATCACAAACCGAGTGTACAACCGCAGGGCAACCGTCAACGTCGACAGTATTAAAAGTGCAGTGGTAACTCCCAGTATCCGGGGGTTCATGTCCATGAGTGAAGGGAGTCGCCGTGAAGAGGCGACGGCATCTTCGACAGCACTCAGTCTTCAATTGATGCGAGTAGCTGCTGCTCCATACTCTTAGAACATCTTGCAAAATTCTCTGCCTGATGTTACTGCGTTGGATAGAGATATGTCGCTGTGGCCAAGTGCTTATTAAGACAGCCTCATTGGAATGTGACTCTATTGCGTCAGTGCTCAAGAGTCCCGAACTCTGCCCGCATCTGGAGCCGTCCATCCTCCACAACCCAAGATTTTGACTGGTATGGTGAAACTTACTTTGTCCCAGTGCGATATGGGTGGCGGATCAAATTCCAGCATCGAATAGCCCCTACATACCAGCCCCGAGACATCACTGGCGTGACCCCAGTGCCCGAGTCAGGCATGAGGGCCCCTTGCTGATCATCCACTCACTTCTCGAGGGAGCTAGGTGGGTCAAAGAAGTAGAACCGTCAATAAAATCAATTGGTGTTGGTTTCCAAAAAGTGTAATGAGCAATTCAACACGTGAGGAATAATGTCKATTATCGAGAGACAAGCCCCTTACAGCTTGCCTCGTTTGAGTGGGGCTGCAAGTTCTTCGACCTTAAGCACAGCACAGCAATGCTTGCCTCAGGCAGCTCCAACATCAACAAGAAAAGCTGTTCCGCTGCAAGAATTGTTCAACGAGGCAACCGAATCTATCCCAAAATAATTTTTATATTGCGGCTATTCCAGAAAAGCCTTCATGCTGGAAGTGGTATTTAAGTACAATCAATGCAAATCAAAGAATAGAACAAATCGAAACGAGTTAAAACGCTTACAGTCTGGCCTTGAGGTTAGACTTGAGTCTGCGTTCAACAGCAGCCAAGTACTCCTTGGTGGTAACCCAGGCCTCACGCTCCTTGCGGCCACAGGCCAGAGCCAGATCCTTGGTCATGATGCCCTCCTCGTTGACGACGTCAATGCAGGCGCGCTCGAGCTCCTCGGCAAAGGCGACGACGTCGGGGGTGTTGTCGAGCTTGCCACGCTGGACCAGACCACGGGTCCAGGCGAAGATCGAGGCAATGGGGTTGGTGGAGGTCTCGCGGCCCTTCTGGTGCTCACGGTAGTGACGAGTGACGGTGCCGTGGGCGGCCTCGGACTCGAAGGCGTTACCATCAGGGGTGGTCAGAGTGGAGGTCATTAGGCCAAGGGAGCCGAAACCCTGAGCGACGATATCGGACTGAACATCACCGTCGTAGTCTTCACAAATCAATCAGCAAGAGACATTCAAGATGGAAAGACACTAGGGCAGACTCACTCTTCAGAGCCATAACGAAACCACCCTCGCTCTTGATCATTTGAGCAACCATGTCGTCAATGAGACGGTGCTCGTACCAGATGCCCTTGGCGTCAAAGTCCTTCTTGTAGGTAGACTCGTAGATCTCCTGGAAGATATCCTTGAAGCGGCCATCGTACTTCTTCAAAATGGTGTTCTTGGTGCTCATATACAGGGGCAGACCCTTCATCAGGGCCATCTTGAAGCTGGAGTGGGCGAAGCCACGGATGGAATCATCGGTGTTGTACTGGGTCTGGGCAACACCGCCGCCGGTGAAGTCGTAGACCTTGATGGCCTGGGGCTCACCATTCTCAGGGGTGTAGACGAGCTCGAGCTTGCCAGGCCCAGGGACGACAATGTCGGTAGCACGGTACTGGTCACCGAAGGCGTGACGACCAATGATGATGGGCTTGTTCCAGCCGGGGACGAGACGAGGAATACGGGGAATGACGATTGGTTCACGGAAGACTGTTCCACCGCTACAAGGGATTAGTATTTGACCGGAAGGAGAACCAGTAGATTGAGGACGACAACATACAGAATGTTTCTGATGGTACCGTTCGGAGACAGCCACACTTGAGGAACTAGTTAGAGAATGGTTCAGGGACGTGAGGCGGCAGCGCTTACTCTTCTTCAGCTTGAACTCCTCAACACGGGCCTCGTCGGGGGTGATGGTGGCGCACTTGACACCGACACCATACTTCTTAATGGCCTCAGCAGCCTCGACGGTGACCTTGTCATCGGTCTGGTCACGGTATTCAATACCCTGGAACGAGATTAGCGCCGAGGACCTCGATTATCGAACATGAAGAGTATATCATACCAAGTCGTAGTACTTGAGGTCAATGTCAAGGTAACTAGTCCAGAATCTCAGTTCACATCCCACTGGCAGTTCGGCGAAGACAGTCGGGAGGACTTACGGAAGGATCAACTTTAAAGTGACGACGAGTCAGTGACATAGGTCTTAGTTTGAGGGAAAAGGAGGTGATTGATCGTAAATGTTCGGAGAGTAACGGCCCGCATGCAGATACAGCTGGCAGCGGCAGCGGGGAGGAAGAGGACGAAGAACTTACTTTTTCTCTAATCTCCTGCCAGATGATACGGGTCATCTAGATAATTGAAACACCAATCGTTAGCCCACATATCCATCCAACAAACAACTTGCGAATCGAGAGAGCATTTGTTTGGTATGAGCCAATAATCCTCGGGAGATTGACAGCTTTGTCCAGGCACAGCAGGCGCAGTCCGCCGTTTTTCCCCGCGTTCTCGCAGACTATGACGAAAATGCAGGTCCGACGCGCTTGTGACAGAGAACCCAGCAAAGGTTATATAAGAACGGGGATGCAAGCGATCTAGCTGCAGATCGAATTCGAATTTCAAATCCGACGAGAGAAAACCTACCTCATCACCATCCAGTTCAACGACTGGGTTCTTGACCTTGATCTTGGTACCTTCGGTGGCCATGGTGCGCGATTGGGTCAAACGAAACGAGGTTACTCCGGACCAGCGGGAAGAAGCAGAGAGTGAGGATGAAGCAAGAGTACGCTGAGGACGAGCTACAGCAGCAGAGGTAGAGAAGGAAGAGGAGGAGACAGAAGAAGTAGAAGAGGAAAGTGAAGAAAAGCGAACAGCGGAGGAATAGAGAGGGGCAGATCGAGGAGGGGCGCAGGCGTGGAGGGAACGTCGCGCAAAAGCGGAACTGAAACGGAGAGAGCTCATATCGAACTGGGATTAGGGAAATTGCAATATAACACTCTCGCGCGCCTGTCCTCGGTGATTCTACGTCTCGGCCCTATTGGAAACAAAGAATATTATGGCGTGGATATTGGTCGGCTCAAGGCGGTTCGCAAATCGGTACTTCCGCTTCGCTTCTAAGGGGAAAACCAGGTTGCTTCAGTCAGCCAAGCGTGGACTTTGCAGATTCACAGACTCGCAGTACCCGAGGGAATAGCAAGAAGAGGCTCGGCTGGAAGGAGGACAGTGGAGTCGGAAGCAGCCGTCAAGCCGGAGAAGATGGTCAGGGAACAAGCATAACTTACAGATTCAAGAGCTCTCACTTGCTAGATTTCTGGGGCAACACGGGGCAGAACGGACCGCCCGGAAAATTGCTTAACGGTGATGATAGTATTAGTTTGGGGGTGGGAGGAATACTTGGGGGACGTCCGAGTGAAGAAATCCGGTCCAAAAGGATGAAGGAGAAGGCGTCCTCTTATTCCAGCAGGAAAAGCCTTTGCCCGGTTGCTCTATGACTGATTGTTTTTGCTCCTCACGTCCTTCAACTGATCTGAATTAGTTGTTTTTGTTGACCATTTTTCCTTAGCAGGACTTGGAACTCCGCTCAAAGCGCCGAAGCCGGACATTTCGAATGAACCACTACCATGAACCCACTGGCACTACTCCATATCTACCTACACCAGTGTTCATCGTCCTGCCATTCTACTAACATAGAAGCTCCATGACTTTCAGTATCAATATTATTATGATCCTTATATTGATTCCTACTGATATTATTCTCTTTTTGTCCCTCTGAAATGAGAGGTGTACGTCAAAAAATAACCTCGGTTTCCCGCGGCAACGGATGCCATGATATACTACCGCCGGAAAGCGATACACCGAGATCGCCTATATGCGGATCTTTTGGTACAGCATGGGAGTGGAATTGGCTTCGGTGAGAGATTCAAGTTATCAAGTGATAATATCGATGATTAATTATCTGAGTCGATAAATATCAGACTTCCAGACACGTTGCAGGTTGGTGGAATTTTTGTCTGTCATTTCTATGATATATTCACTACCTAGCTCTGTCCCACACATCGGGGAGGTTAGAACCAACTCCGAGTCTCCGCACCTTATTTTCCATCCCAGTGTTGAAGACCAACTGCGTCTAGACACAACATCCAATCTAATGTCGTCATGCTCATACATGTTGAATTAAAGTGTACATCACAATCAATAATATGGTATAAAAGCTAGAGGAGATAAACATCGCTCCGAAAATGAAGAAAGCACTGAACACGGCAAGGGGAGGATCTCTTCAGCCTAGAACAGGCCATCAATCTCCCCGGTCTCGGTGTCGATATCGACGTTCAGGTAACCCGGAGCAGTCGGCAATCCGGGGATAGTCTGGATGTCTGCCGCAAGTGCGTAACTGTGTGGGTTCATCCACTGGTTAGCCGATTGATCCGCTCGAGCCATGTGATGAAATAAGCACTTACAGATATCCACCTCCAACCGCCAGCCGAACATCACGAATGGGAACTGTAAACCCCGTTGGGGCGCCCTTGAGCGCGGGATCATGACTCAAGGAGTACTGGGTCTTGGCAATGCAGATTGGAAGATTGGAGAAGCCTTGTGCCGTGTAGGCGTCGACCTTCTTCTGCGCCAGCTCGCTGAATTCGACCTTCTCCGCACCGTACATGGCCTTTCCAATGCGCTCAATGCGCTCCTGGATGCTGCCCTCCAAGTCGTACAGGAGCTTGAAGTCCTTGGGCTTGGAGCTAGCTGCCAACACCCCCTTGGCAAGGTCAATGGCTCCGGCACCTCCCTCGGCCCAGTGATTGGCAGGGATGGCATCCTCCGCACCGGCGGCAATAGCCTCCTCGCGGACTATAGCGACTTCGGCTTCCGTGTCCGTCTCAAACCGATTGATGGCTACCACCACCGGCACTCCGTACATCTTGGCGTTCTGGATGTGCTTCTTGAGGTTCACACAGCCCTTGCGGAGAATCTCGGTGTTCTCAGTGCGGTAAATCTCGTGGAGCGGTGCTCCAGGGTTGATCTCCGGCCCACCACCGTGAACCTTCAGAGCCCGGACGGTGGCAACAATGACCACACAGTCTGGGGAGAGACCAGAAGACCGGCACTTGATGTTGAAGAAACGCTCACCTCCCATGGTGAAGTCGAAACCGGCCTCAGTAACTACGAAACCAGTCTTAGCCTCGTGATCCTCATCGGGTTCAGTACCCGCGAGCTTCAGCGCCAATTTATCGGCGATAATAGAGCTGGCACCAATACTGATGTTGGCGAAGGGACCGGCGTGGACCAGCACTGGAGTTCCCTCCAAGCTCTGCATCAGGTTGGGCTTGATGGCATCCTTCATCAGGGCGGCCAAAGCTCCGCCGGCGCCAATATCGTCGCAAGTCACGGGGTCCCCGCTCTTAGAGGTCGCAACGACCATGCGTCCCAATCTTTCGCGCATATCTTCGAGACTGTTGCTCAGCGCAAGGATGGCCATGCATTCACTGGCCACGGAGATGTCAAAGCCCGTCTCGCGTGACAGACCCTTTTCAGTAGGGGCCTGTCCGACTGTAATGCCACGAAGGTGACGATCATTGACATCCAACACACGCCGCCAGGTGATTGTCTGCGGATCGATGTCAAGGCGCGCGAAACGGCGGATTTCTTCCTCGGTGAGATCATCGGGGTTCGTTTTAGTAATGCCAAGCTTCTTGAGTCTTCTGAACATGATGGGCTGGAATTCGCGCTTGCCCTTTTTGATAGGGACCAGCCGCTTGTAAAGAGCAGCATCCTTCTGGGTAGCTTCATGGAACATGCGAGTTTCAATGGCGGCAGCCAGAAGGTTGTTGGCAGCAGTGATCGCGTGAATATCACCGGTCAGATGGAGGTTGAACTCGTCCATGGGAATGACCTGGCTGTAACCTCCACCGGCAGCGCCACCCTTGATACCAAAGGTGGGACCCTGACTCGGTTGCCGGACATTGGCAAACACGATCCGGTTCAGGTGTGCGCCCAGCGCTTGAGTAAGACCGACCGTAGTCGTGGACTTGCCCTCTCCAAGAGGCGTAGGAGTAATACCGCACACCAGGACATAACGTCCGTTACGACGGTGAGCCAAGCGGTCCAGAACACTCAAACTGATCTTGGCCTTGGTGTGGCCGTAAGGCTCCAGCTCGTGGGGAGCAATGCCAACCTCCGCTGCGACTTGAGTAATCGGCTTGGGGTACTGAGCACGGGAGATGGCAATGTCGGAAGGAACAGGCCGGACCAGCTTGATGGGAAGCGGAGTAACATGTCTGTCCCGCTGCTTCTCAAAGTATGCCTTGGCCGAAGTAACGACATTCTTCAGCAGCATGGCAACTGTCATGGGACCGACACCTCCGGGAACCGGAGTGATCTGCGAGGCTACCTCTACGGCGGACTCGAAGTCGACGTCTCCGACGAGACGCTGTCCGGACTTCTTCGAAGGATCAGGCTTGTAATTAATGCCCACATCGATAACAACGGCACCAGGCTTCAGCCAGTCGCCCTTGACGAACTCTGCCTTTCCAATGGCTGCAACGACAATGTCGGCGTTCTTCACGATGCGGGGGATGTCCGGTGTCTTGGAGTGGCAGACAGTCACGGTGGCATCTGCGTTCTTCAACAGGTAGCTGACAGGGCTACCGACGATGTCACTACGGCCAAGAACCACTGCCTCTTTGCCGGCGGGGTCTACTCCACTTGCCTTGAGGAGGTCCATAACAGCCAGCGGGGTACAAGGGACGAAGAGGGGATGGCCACCTCTTTTGGCCAACTCTCCAATATTGATTGCGCCGAAACCATCGACATCTTTTTCATCCGCAACCGCAGATGTGACTGCATGTTCTGACAGGTGGCTAGGAAGGGGAAGTTGGACGAGGATGCCGTGCACCGAAGGGTCGTTGTTAGCCTTGGTGATTTCCTGAAGGATCTCAGCTTGAGAGATCGATTCGGGAAAGTTGATGATCTTGCAGAGAATGTTCGCCTTTACAGATACAGTGAATTAGTAAGGCTCCAAGGGGGGTATGATCAGAGATTACGAGATTATATCCGTACCTCTTCAGCGGCCTTCAATTTCATGCGCACATATGTGCCTTGAAGCAAATTAGAACACACCTTATATATAGGCGCCAAAGGTCATAAAACTCACTCGAATCCGATCGATTACCGACTAGAATTGAAGCAATGTCAGTACCTCCGCCGGGCCGGGTTCATGATGTCCGGCTAAACGTACCCTGAAAGATAACCAGACTCGGCTTGAACCGAGGATTAGACTCTTGAATCTTTGCAATCTCGGCCTTCAATCCTTCTCTGATGTTCTTGGCAATGGCCGTTCCATCAATCTTTGTGGCCCCCATGACGGTAGATGTGCTGGAGAATGAGCGACGGGAAAGTGATGGTCTGGGGAAGGTCCTGGAACGGGAAAGTTCGACCACACGTCCAGCGAAGTGAAGTCGAGAAGTCCCAAGGAGAGACGATGTCAAGGATGGGAAGATGTAAGAAGAGTAAAGCTGACTGCGAAGATGACAGGAGAAGACCTTCGAATTCACAGCACAGCGGGGTAATGTCGCCGAACGAGCGGGGTGAAAGGGCATCGACTGCGGCTTGTCGGGGGCTTTAGGTGCAGCCCTCGGACGAGTGACGATAGGAGATTTCCGTCGGGAAAGCAGTTGTCAACTTAAGCTCCACCTTGAAAGGGATTAAAG